CTTGCTTTTGCCTGAACTGTTACACACAGGAAGAGTGAGAGATGGCTATTCAGGAGAGCTTTCTTCTCAATTATGCATTAGAGTGAAACAGTTCTCTGAGACTAGCTTCCATGTGGAAGAAATTCTCTTTCCCTAACACTTGACAAAGAGTTGACCCCTCACAGTTACAACAAAGTGGACAAGTTCATGTTTGACCAAAATATCCCACACCACAAGCTGAAGATAAAGTAAAAACAAAGAAATATCAGCAAACAATATTGATAAAAACTGAAATACTTTTAACATTAGATGACTTACATTGCCCTTTTAAAGTGGCTTCTTTTTAAAACATGTGCATGTGTGGTGTTCATGCTCACGTGCATTAGAGTTCACAGTATGCACACTCCTACACAGACATATCCATATGTGGGTCTAGGTGATTCTATATTCCAACAAGCTGTTTCTCAAGTTTCCTGACTAATAGTACTCATAATGGCATCTGATTTCTCCAGAAATGCTGAATGCAATAATCATCTAATATTTAAAATGGCAATTTGCCAACATTTACAAACTCAAAAGTCTTTCTTCTTATTAGCAAGCATAAGTATCATGAAAACCCAAAGAAATTATGAATCCATATAAACTTTATATTTCAGGAATGGCAAAATAATAATGGAGCTCTACATCGCCTTGTTAGAGCCCCCCCCCCCCCGCTCCCCCCCCGCCCCGGCTACTCAATATGAAGACTGAGGCTTAGGTTCTCTAGGACATTCCTTGCAGCTGCAGCAGCAGCTTCCATGAAGCCCCCTCTTGCTTCCACAAAGCAGTTCTTGGGGTCAGTTCACGTAACCAGGACATCTAGAATGTGGCATATTTTTCTAGCTGCCTTGTAAGCTTCTTTTCAATAGTGGGTACCAATATACTCTTTGAATTTTCTGCAACTGAGGACTCAAATAAAACTGAACCCCCCCCCCCAACATCACCTGGAGAGTATAACATGCAGAAACATGCGTTAGTCTTTCTTCCCTTCTGGCAACACTTAGAAGTCCCCTCCCCAAAAGCTGCAGAAGATGCCGCCACAGGTGTCCCGCCCAAAGGCGGGATGAGAGCACAGAAGCTTGTAGAGTAATAGGGACACACCCCTGCAGCCCCTATTACCTCCTATTTCCCCTTCTCCATACTTCAATCCTTCTCTTTATTTGTTGTTTATATTTGTTAATAGAATTAAATCTGTACAGAATTATAAAACAATACCCAACCTTCACCTCTTTCTTGCATTCTCCCTCAGCTACCATTTATGTCTGCTTTCTCCAAGCAGCTAAAGTTCTGGAAAGAGCAAACTATACTTTTCCACACATCAACCCCAGCCATTCTTTTCCCAGTCCACTGTAATCCGGATTTTTTGCCCCACCCTGTAATTTAGATTTTTGAATGAAATGATACTTGTAAAAGTTATCGATAACCTTATTGATACAGTTCATGTGTGAGTCCCGGTCCTCACCAGCATTTGCTATCTCTGACTGAATACCCTCCTTTTTGGAATATTCTTTCCTTCTGGCTTCTATAACACTGTATATTTTTTTTGACAATGAAAATCTCCAAGGCTCATTAATAGGCAAATAAAAACCAGATTTTGCATTAGCATAAAGCTCACTCCAAAGGACTTCTAATTCTTTTCTTTCTTCTTTTCCAGGGAAAAGAACACACCAAGTTTATCATATACCAAAGGCATGGAAATAGCAGACTTCTATCTTGTAATTGGACACTGCGTAGTCTATGAACTAAGAAAGAATACCTGTCCTCATAGAACACAAATGCAAACACACATTGAATAATTGTTATTACATAAGGTGAAGTGTATAGAGAAAAACACACTTAGTCAATCTCTGGCCTCTAAACATATATGCACACACAAATGTGCCCCTCCACATACACATACATACACACACATAAACCACACACACAAATTCAACACTAATAATTTCAATTTTAAATTTCAAAAGACCATCCAGTGATGGTAAGATTATCTAGCAAGTCAAAGTGCTTGTCACACAAGTATGACAACATGAGTTTGATCCCCTGACCCCAAGGTGGAAGGAGAGCTGACTCCCAAAAGTTATCCTCTGACCTCTGAAAAGTGCTGCAGCACACACCATACACACAAAAATAATAGAAATTAAAATAGAGTTCAGCTAAAAAGAGAAACTTACGTCACTGAAGTCAAAAAGCAATTTACTAGTTTGGTTTCATTTATATGAATTAAGGAATCCTCTGAATTGTTCCTTTATAATCATTTCAAGCTGATGTCTCACCGGCTAACAGGGCTGGTGAGATGGCTCAGAGACTAAGAGCACTTACTGTTCTTTCAGAATACCTGGGTTCAATTCCCAGCACTCACATCAGGCAGCTTATAACTGCCTGTAACTCCAGTTCCTGCACACATGTGGTACACATCAATTCACGCAGCCACACACATAAATAAAAATAAATATTTACAAACAAGCAAACAAAGTGTGGTCTGAAAACAAAAAGTAACGTCTAACAGGTAAAAATAGGGTGACGTCTCTGGATGCTCAGTGGAGGTGTCTGGAAGAGTGTTTGTTAAGTGACTATCCCAGGGGTGTATCTTCCTATTCATCTCAGAAAGTCATGGCAGATGGAAGAAATTATTCCACTCAAGTCTAGCTAGGTGAACTAATAAGCTTAATTAAAGTGACTTTCAAAATCATGGGCAGTTGGCCAGCAGCTATACCACTGGATTATAGCATTTTTGCCCTGAGCATATAAAGCCAATCATGTATCTTTGAGGAAGTGAGGTGCCTCCTGAGCTCTCTGCACTTCCAGGAGGGCCTTTGAGTGGAACCAGCCTTCTGAGGGTATCTAATGGGTAAACCACAGCACTCTGATTTTAAGGCTAGAACCCAAGGCTTTTGTGCCTGAGCACAGAGTTCCACATCAGTAGTGCTTTAACTTAATCTAAGAAGCATGCTTTCTGGTGATTTCCAAGTTTAAGGTGAGTGTACCAAGGGTCTCAGATGGCTGACAAGTCCTGTAGCCTTTCTCCATCAAAAGAGCATCAACTTCCAGGAAAACTTTGGGTCTTAATTTATGCTTGAATTATTCTAGTGTATCAAGACAAATTATCAAAAGGCCCGATACCTTTAAATGTCAGCACAACTACAAAGTAACAGTTTACCCAATATAAAATTTCAGTTTTAAAAATAAAGAAAGCCGGGTGGTAGTGGGGCATGCCTTTAATTCCAGTTCTCAGGAGGCAGAGGCAGGCAGATCTCTGTGAATTCAAGGCCAGTCTGGTCTACAGAATGAATTTCATGGTAGGCTCCAAAGCTATATATGGCCAAGGTTATACAGAGAAACCGTGTCTCAAAAAACAAAACCAAACCAAATCAATCAAACAAACAAAAAAAAGAAAGAAAGAAAAGAAAAATAAAGGAAATGGAAGTATAATTTGAATGTTTGGGAATTTATTTCCAAAGAAAAAGCTCTTTTGTCTTCTAATTTTCTTATATTTTTTTTTATATTTTAAAAATACACCCAATAAATCCATTAAAAGTTAATATTGTCAATTTTCTACTATACGATAATAAGTGTGACGCTATACTATCATGGTTCCTTTCTTTCATGGACCTTTCATTTCAGTGAGGAGGGGAAAGAGAGAAACATAGCACACAAACAATTTTAGGCCACGGGAAATGCCATGCAAAGAAAAAGCAAAGTCACACACAAGGTGACTGGAGAGTCACTTTAGGCAGCGAGGAAAGCATCTTTGACAGACGGCAGTGACAAGTCTTGAGAGAAGGGAAACTGCAGACGTCCTAGGCTCGGAATAACTCATCGCAAGAAAAGTGGATATTTATACAGATTATCTTCAAGTATGTGGGAGTATACATACTTGTAAAGCTGTTTCTAAATGGTCTCGGTGAAAGAAATAAGCAACAACAACAAAATACCGTATTGTCAGAGCTACCCTGTGGTGCTAGAAGTTTGTACAACGTGAACACTAAGGAACTGCGACTGTCTGGTGTTTTCGGGTTTCACAGAGGAGGTGGCATAAGGCAGGGTTTTGAAACCTGTGCAATCTACAAGGGTGTCTCTGTGTATGTATTGGTGGAGACAGTACAGCAAACAGTGGAACACAAAAAACAGGCTGTTTCTCATTGGTGTGAGGCTCAAGGGGCACAAAAGCCTAGCCATGACTCCTGATCAGCGCTTACATGGCTGTCTTTGTTAAACACACCCACAGCACAGGTTTGTGGCCACTCTAGAGGCAGTGAAAATAGATAACAAGAGGAAAGAAAAGAGAAATCTGACGTTTATCGGAGTTCATAACTCGGTGGGGCTGTTCCTTGTCAGTCAACGATAAACTTTCTGTACTTGGCTCAGAATAGGCACTCAGCGAACATCTCTAGGGCAAATGAAAGAAAATGAATTGGTGGTGGTTGGGGTTGGCGGCCTGACATCTGAGGGACAAAAGTCAGTCTCCCTACATTAAAATACACTGTCCTGTTCATAGAGCCTGAACTCCTTTTCATACTTGTTTTCATCCAAACGATGAAATACGCATTATTTACTCCGCTGTGCAAATTCCGAGTCTCCGAGTGGGAATGTACTCCGACTCCGGTTCTAGAATGGGTCAGCCACTAGTCAGGAGTTTCTGACTTAACTGGGTGTTCACGCTTAAAATCCACTCCCTAGACTAGAGGCCTGAAGAATAAAATGATTTCGGTAAAGCTTAAGAGTTAGGGGAAGCCAAGGAAAGTCAAAGGGATGAGCGGGGGCGAGAAGGGGAGGTTCCAGAACGTCCCTACCGGCCTGTCACAGCACAATCACTGGGGTACTTCACAAGAGCATCGAACCTCGGGGCAGGGCGGAGCACCAGTGCCAACCCCCACACCCCGCGCAGCCGCAGTGCAGCTCCGGAGCCTGGGGGTGCGAAGGGGCGGGGCCGACACCGTGAGGGTTGAGAGGCGGCTCGGCAAGTTACCCCCAGAGCGGCCTAACGTCATTTCCTGCCGAAGGCAAAGCTTCCGGGTCGCGATCCGCAGGACTTGTGTCTGGGTGACTTCTCGGCGTTGTCCGCGGTCTCTGCCTCTGGGGTCCTCCTCCGGCCTCTGCCCGGGCTCGTGCTCGCCGCGTTGCCACCTCCATCGTGAGGAGGTGGGTGTGGTGGCTCAGCGGTCCCCAGCTTGTCTGCCAGTCTCCCACCCTCGCCCGCCATCGCCTCGCACCATCCGCCATCTTCCTGCCTGGAGGCGTCGGGTCGTGCTGCGGGCCTCGGCTCGGCTGCAGCGTGGGGGACCCGGGCGGCGAGGGCTTGCAGGGAGGGGTGGGGAAGTTGGGGTGACAGGTGCGGGGCAGGAGTGCTGGAGTCTGCGGCCACGGCCAGGCTTTGCCTGAGCCTTTTATTTTTTTATTTTGGAATTAGGCGCTGTACGATGTAGTGTTGAGACTGATCTCACGGCCCTCCAACCTTTCTGGGGAAGATGTTTCTTTCTTTCTTTCTTTTTTTTTTTTCTTTTAAGAGTACGTTTTGCAATTTGAGAAGCATTCCTCAGAATGCTTCATCCCACCAAGAAACCTTTTATGAAACCATTTCCTCTGACGGATGGGTATGCAGTGTTTTCTTAGTAGCTATACGAATTACTGAAAGGTACTTTGCTGTTGGCATCGTGCATCTCATACCGCGTTTTTATGCTATTGTTTAAACGTGGAGATTACTCGTTATCTGAAATCCTTAGGTCTGCAAGACGAAGGAAATATCAGTATATGTTCCTGGAATGCGCTTGGATATAAAATCGCATTTATTTGAAGATTATTTTCGGCCGGTGCAGGGACAATTAGAAGATTAGTAGTTTGATGTTAGGAAGCAGCTACCTATAGAGAGACTGTGACGTCGTTGTTTTTTTGACTGCTGAGTTATGGGAGGCGATGCAGGTTTTTTTTGATTAATTGAAAGCCTAGAAATGGCGTGGGTTTTTTTTCTCAACCATCTGGACATAGTTGTGTGCGTGGTGGGGCGTTGTTTGTCTATTTTTTGTTTTTTGAACCATGGTACAGAATAATGTGAAATAACCTCGCCTTAGAAGAGAAATTTTGTCTGTTTTTGTATACCTGTTTTTCAATTATAGGGCCGAATTGAATAATTAGTTTAAATAGTAGGTTTATGACCTTTTTCCTCATGAAGTTATGTCAGGTAGCGGTTTGAAGCAGGGTCTGAAGACCTGGCTCAGTAATGAAGAGCACTGGCTCTTCCAGGGTACCTGGTTCCGTTCCCAGCCCCCACATTATCACAGTATCGCAACCATCTGCAACTCCAGCACCTTCTGGCCTCCTCAGGCACCGGGCATGCAAACAAAACATCCATGCACATGAAATAAGTTTTTCGAAGTTTAATGTTTTAAAGTAAATATTTGTTGACCGGCAAGTAGACTGATTATAGATATTTAACCTATTCTAATACCTTATAATGTTTGGATATGAATGTCTTTGATACAGGAACTATGAATGGGAGGGCTGAGTTTCGAGAGCCGAATGCTGAAGTTCCAAGACCGATTCCCCGTAACTATCATATTAAATATTTATAATTAGTAGCGCTTTCGGTGTAAGGAAATTTTAGTTGCTTGAGTAACAGTAGCAGCTGGGCTGGCTTTCCGGGTGTGATGTCTGCCTGCACAGTCACAGGGCTTCATCCTTGTTTTGACGGTGTCTTGTTGCAGTCTTAAAATTCCTCATTATCTGAGCGGGGCGGGGGTTGGTTTTCCGTCTTTTCATTTATCAGTGTGTTCAGCCTGTCTTAATAGGTAGTAAGAATAAATTCTGTTGGAGGTCAGCGTTTTTTAAAAAGCTGACCAGCCAGTTACTTCATCACTTTATTTGTCTATTTATTTATCTGTTTTTAGATGTTCTTATTACTAGTAGACAAAGCTAACTTTCAGGCTTTTAGGAAAATGACTTTCAGTTTTTCTCCAAAAGACATAGGGGCTGATTACATTCCGACAGAGGAAGAAAGGAGAGTCTTTGCGGAGTGCAATGAAGAAAGCTTCTGGTTCAGATGTGAGTTATCCTTTTTGTGAACTTTAAAAAAATGTCCCTGCATATATTTGTGTGGGTGTGCCTGTGTGTGGAGGGCCGTGGTCGGCGTCCTTCTCGGCCTCTTCCTCTTATTTTTTGAGACAGGATTTCTCACTGAACCTAGACTTCTACCATTTTGGCAAAATTGGCCATCCAGCGAGTCCCAGATCTTTCTGTCTCGGCTTCCCGGTGCTGAGGTGCGCGTGCTGGCTGTTAGATGAGCATCAGGGGTCGGAACTCAGGTCCTGGGCTTTGCATCGCCAGCCATCTCTTCTGCCCTGGTCCTCGGTTTTCTATCAGCATAAGCCTACCTTCACCTACAAACGTGACTTAAATTTATGTTTGAAATGATAGTTACATGGAGAACATATTGGGGGCACTTTTGGCATAGTATGGTTATTTATTACTAATAGAGATTAAAGAAATAGAATTGTGCCATATGGTGGTGGCGCATGTCTTTAATCCCAGCACTTGGAACACAGAAGCAAGCACATCTCTGTGAGTTCAAGGCCAGCCTGATCTACAGAGTACCAGATCAGCCAGGTCTACACAGGGAAACCCTGTCATGGAAAAAAAAAATGAAAGAAATAGAATTGAAGGAATTAAGGTTAAGAGGTGTTGAACATGTCCACCTGAGTTACATGTTAGTGAGTGAATCACTGTGCCTTGGAATCAGGTCTGCCTGAACCACAGCCTTTTGTTCTGGGGTTTACTCTTACATTTATGACTGTTGTGACAATTGTAGTGAGGAGTCACTGTACTATCAACTCTGAATTTCTGACTACAGATCTTAAGATCAGGATTCTTGTGTTGCTGCTTGTCTGTTTGTTGTAGCTCTGGCTGGCCTGGAACTTGCTGTGTAGACCAGGTTTAGTGTTGGAGACTATCCAGTGGTAGAGCTCATGAGGCCCTGGGTTTCATTCCTAGCACCAGGAATTAGTGGTAGTGGAGGAATTACAGAAGACCAAAAAGACAAGCAAACAACCAATTCCGCAAGGGAACTAGACCAGGCTAGCCTTGCATATGTGATTATTCTGCTTGTTTTCTGCTAGGAGTTCATGTGTTTTCAAGTCTTAATGACACAGAATTAAGAAAAAGGAAACCCTGTAATCCCAGTCCACAGAAGGATCTTGAATTTGGGCTGGCCCTGAGCTATATAGTTGAAGATCTCCCTGTGCTATACAGCAATAGTCTACATGAAAAAGACTAGGCTTGGTATGTAGGGTTCAAAAGATAATGCATTAAGCTAATGGATACTATTGGATCCAGATTTATTTTTAACTGATTAAATTTATGCTTTGTGTGTCACTTGAAATAGCTGTAATATTATGCCTAAATTGTATAGAAGGGAAGTGATCTATAGGCAGGATTTCATATATAGGAAAGTGATATATGAATAATAAAATACATTTTTATTACAATAAATGTATTACAGTCCCAAGTTAGAGAGAGAAATAAGGACAGGTGGAAAATAGCTTGCTACTGGACTTCTAGGTGGACTACTAGACCAAAGATTAATAGGTAACATTAGACTTTGGTTTTTTTGCTGGTTTATGGGCTAGAACCCTAGATGTCCCCAGACCTCACGAAGTGGATCAGGTTGGCCTTGAACTCACAGAGATCTCTCTCTGCCTTCCTAAAGGGATTGCTTTAGACTCTTAAAACAGATATGAACGAAGTGTTCTCTGTAATAACACCAAACTTTCGAACTATGTAACCAGATGATAGGAAATTAAACATGTAATTACCAAGAGAATTTAATAGTTATATAATAGGAAATTTTGTACTTTAACATTTGTTTCTCAGATATAAAATGCCGTATGTGACATGCATATTTATGCAAATGAGTAATGGAATTTATTTTACTAAGGAAAGTATTGGCTTGTGACTGTTGATCAGAACAGAACGTTAAAGTAATTAGAACACCTTGGAAATGTAATTTTTTGTACCTTTTGACATCTGTAAACTGTATTCCTCCTGGTTTGAAAGCAGGCTCATTCATTGATCTGAAGACTGCTTCATTAAGGTAGCTGTTACCTTAAAAAGTAACAGAAGGGCTGGGCAGTGGTGGCGCACGCCTTTAATCCCAGCACTCAGGAGGCAGAGGCAGGCGGATCTCTGGGAGTTTGAGGCCAGCCTGGTCTACAAGAGCTAGTTCTGGGATGGGCACCAAAGCTACAGAGAAACCCTATCTCGAAAAAAAAAAAAAAAAAGAAAGTAACAGAAGGCTCTGTACATAAAGTTTTACTGTGTTGCATCTTGTGTACTACAGCAGCTCCCAACCTTTAGAATTACTGAATGATGTATGAATTCACATTTGCATCAGATATAGATTGCATGAGTTGTATTTTATGTGTGTGTGTTAGTATTTTATGTGTGTGTGTTAGTAGTGTTCTATGATTTTCCATGGAGAGACTTAAACACCTGATTACCCTAGATTGGGATAACACTGATAGAATAAAGAAAGGATTCCATTGAAATCCTGCTTGGTGAACCATAGAGTTAGTTTCTTGAGATTGCTTCCAGGAACATGGTAGACCTTTGGGCAGCTGCATCATTGAAGAGTCTCATGTGTCCAATACATGGTAGGCCACATTGAATTATTTACCTTTACAGCCTCCAGGAAAAGAGGCCTCTTGACGGTCTCTTGTGGCTGGCAGTGGTCTTCTCGAACTCAGAGGAAACAACCAGCTACACTGCATCTTTCTGACTCTTTTTTTTTTTTTTTAAATATTTATTTATTTATTATGTATATGATATTCTGTGTGTATGCTTGCATGCCAGAAGAGGGCACCAGACCCCACTACAGATGGTTGTGAGCCACCATGTGGTTGCTGGGAATTGAACTCAGGATCTTTGGAAGAGCAGACAATGCTCTTAACCTCTGAGCCATCTCTCCAGCCCATCTTTCTGACTCTTAACATTCTTTCTGGGTTCTTTTGATGTCAGCTCCTTGGAGGGTATAATGAAAGATATTTTTCTGAGCGATGAGCCTCTGTGTCATAGCAACAGTCTCATCAGTTCAGCTTCCACAGTAATCACTATTATTGTAAAAGAAGTTTCTTTTTAATATGGTCCCCAGTGGCAGCAGTCTATAGCGTGAATACAAATGTTTAGGAGGCAATTTTACCATGCATGTTTAACAAAACAATAGTCATAGTCTCCCTACTGGGGGCTATGATATTCTTAGTTACAATTGTGCCCAGCTAACAGTATCAAACATAGTCTGTAGAGTAGGTTTAAATTAACCTGCAAAGGGCTGGAGAGATGGCCCAGTGGTTAAGAACACTGCCTGCTCTTCCAAAGGTCCTGAGTTCAATTCCCGGCAACCACATGGTGGCTCGCAACCATCTGTAATGAGGTCTGGTGCCCTCTTCTGGCCTGCAGACATACACACAGACAAAATATTGTATGCATAATAAATAAATATAAAAAAAATAAAATAAATTAACCTGCAAAGTTGTTGGTTGCACCCATATTAGTTATACCAGTATTATAGCAGCAATTATATCTTGCTTGCATAGCCACCAGGACTGTTGAGCCATAATTCTTTCTCATCCTCTGGCATAAAGCTGACTGGCACTACAAATGTTAGCCATTAGGGGAGGATATTGCCAGCTTGATTTCTTTGTGATGCAACCAGAGTTCCACATTAGGAACTTGCTATCTACTTGTGTAACCAACATCAATGGCAATAGCCTGGATAAAGTCAAGGGGATTTCTTGATAGTGTTGCTGCTCAAAAGTTGCTGATGGGAGTCAGTGAGTCAACCATATTGCTGGTGGCATGCTTTATTGTTCAGGGGACTTCCTGATGGTTTGGCTACCTTTTGAGTCACTCATGCCCCTATAAAGAGCTCTCAGTCGTAGGGTAAAAGGGCCAGCCAAAGAAACCCACCCTGGCTCTGAAACCAGAGCCAGTGAAAGAAACACAGCTTGATTCTGAGACGTGAACCCGTGAAAGAAATACTTTAGCCCTGAACCCAGAACCAAAGTAATGCACCCCGACTCTGAAACCAATGCCAAAGAAATATACCTTGTCCCTAGAATCAGAGCCAGTGAAAGAAATGTGCCCTGGTCCCAAAACTAGAGCCAAAAAGCTTTTAAAAAGGCCAGTGAAAGAAACGCAGTTTGGCTCTGAAATCAGCTATCTCTGATTTCAACTAAACTAACCAATTCCTGAGCAGGGAAAACTAACCTATCCCTCTTCTCCCTGGGAATACTCTGCTCCTAAGAAGCCCTGCCTAAACCCTATGCCTGTTCAGTTTTCAGCTGCTCTTCTTTCATACCAGTAGAGGCAGCCACTCTCCTGGATTCTTCCCTCCCAATAAATTTCTTGAACAAGGTTTGGGTGAAGACACCCTTCCTGGAAGCGGAGTGGGACTGTTAACACTGTAACACTGGGGGAGCCTTCCCTTAGCAGCACCAGTTGTTATAACTTTGTGGGAGAAGTCAGGAACAGGTTGTAACACTGTCACTGGGGAAACCTTCACCTAGCAGAGCAGAGTTGCTACACTCCTGAGCACTGGAGCCAAGCTGTAAGAACTTTGCTGGGGAAAGCCCTCTCCTGCTAGATGTGGTTATACTGGGGAAGCCTTTCCCTAGAGCAGGGCTGTAAACTGTTAGGCTTGCTGTGGCCTGTGTTCAACTGCCAGAGGGCTCTTCTACCCGAGCCGTAACACTCATTTTCCTTGACTGTCTCCTGCTAGGATCCCTTTCCATCTAAGCTGTGATACTTATACCAGTAACTACACTGGTTCACAAACTGAACTTGGATGAAACCTTTCTTTGATGTATGAATGCTCACTCTGGAATGTAGATACCCTTTTTACTTCTCTTTATGAAGAGTCCTGTTATAGCCATATATTTCCAAATTAGAAAACATGATCAATGACAAAAGCATAGATTCTTGTTCTTACCTTACTATTTAGATTCAGATCCCAAGTATATACTCCACCCCTCCCCCAAGACAGAGTTTCTCTGTGAAACAGTCCTACTGTCCTGAAACTCACTATGTAGACCAGGCTGGGCTCGAATTCACAGAGATATAATCTGCCTCTGCCTCCCCAGTGTTGGAAATAAAGGCATGAGCTACCACCACCTGGCCCCAAGTATCTACTTTAAGAGCTGTGAAATTTGGGCAAGTTTCTCTTTATGTCCTTGTTTGCTTATCTGCAAAATGGGGATGATAGCTATCGATCTCATGGAACTGTTGTGGGAATTAATTCAATTCTAATTTTACAAATGGTGATTATCTATTAAGTGGCTCTCTTCTCCTCCCCCTCACTATTTATTCATTTATATACATTCTGACCAATGCATTAAATTTTCTGGTGAAAACTGCTGCAGATTTAGAGCAGTAGTAGCATTTTGCAATTGTAAGGAGAAAAAAAGCTCAAGGAACTGTGGGAATGCTTTTGATAGATATGATATGGACAGTGGCTGTCAGTAATACTGATTTACTTGAAGAAACCGATTGTTTACAGACTAGAGTAGTATCTCATAGTACTGTGGTAAAGGCCACTGACCTGGGAGCCGGAGAACTTGGGTTCTGATCCAGGTCAGCCATAATTACCTGTGTTGTTTTGGGCATGTGAGTTGTCTGTTCTGGATACCAGTGCACTTTGATTAGGATAAAGACTAGGTAACTGCCAAAGCCCCTTTCAGCTGACTATTTTTGTGACATAAAATAGATCTTGTCAGTTGGGCAGAACTTAAGCCTAGTCCATTATCCCCTCATGGCATGAGAGGAAATGCCTGCTGGCATGGTGGTACATAGGATAGTAACGCCAGCACCCCTTCCCAAGGATTGTTACTCTGTCTCAGCCAGGAAAGTGCTGTCCATTACAGTCCTTGAACCAAGATGAGCTGATGCTGTAATTTCAAAGAGATTTGTTCTTTGAAAACCCTTAGATTATAATGCATGAAGGTATTCTAACCAGCATTAGAGAAAGCGTTTTCCAGCAAAGGTAAAACCTGTCAGTAAGTAGAATAGTAAGCCGCCAAGGCTGATTTAGGATGGCTGCGAATTATGTTTGATGATAAAGTCGATGTCTGATTGCAGAGTTAGAAATCTTGATCATAAAATTTCTGTGGTAGTTAAAATATTTATTTTTGTTTTTAATTGCCACATACTTCAGACAGGAGTTGAGCTGACCACAGACATGAACCAAATGTGGTTTTGTATTTAATATGCTAAAAAAATTTTATACTAAAATGATTGGGAGAAAAAGGCTGGTTTGATTACATATGCAAATTACTTGAGTTAATATTTTGTGTCCATAAGTAGCATTTTATTAGAAAAGGCTAAGTTTGTTTTTTTTTCATGTTTTATCTTAGGGTACTTCTGCCTTAGACAGCAGTTAAATAGTTGGTATATACTCTCTGGATGTTATAGAGTGTGCCAATCACCAGGTGCATGTTATTTTAACTCAAAATAATTTACAGCTAAAATATAAAAAGAAAAATTAGGTAAAGGAGCATTGGTGGAATTAAGAGGAAGCTGGACACTGGACACTTGCATCTGAGAATCTATCATGTATGCTCACTAGAAACAGAGCCAGGTTTTTATTGGGGACTGATCACAGAGGCACATTAGGCTGGCTGGTACTGAAACTGCAGACTCCCAGACAGGAAGTGGGTATTCAGTGTAAACTCTTTGTACAAACAGGTGAGAACTTATTTAGGTCAATTTATTGTCAGTCTAGGGAACTGTTTACGGTCAGGTTACCAGATCTAGTTTCTTGCCAAGGTAGTGAGTCTAGGACCAACTTCCATGCTTGCAGAGAACCTGGGGCTGATGTGGAGAGCAATGATTCATAGCTGTTTCTAAGTTATAAATCATTTTGAATTATAGGTTAATATGCATCTTTTACATATTTTCATATGCTTTTAAGAAATATTTTTAATGCATGATTTCATTCTTCCAGCTACCATTTAATCACATGATCAAATATATTTTGTGTCTTGGTTCACACAGTGTAATTTAGAGGCTGAAATCTTAGGATCTGATATTAGTCAATTTTCATTAGGTGTGAGACCTAACGTTGATGTTGATGGTCTCATATGGTTTTAGGTAAGTAAGGTTCTTAACATCTCCAAGCTTCCTTTGTAAATGGTAGCAATACGAGCTTCCTGTGAAGACGTGATGATGATGTAAATGTAAAGATGTACATTTATAAAGCTTCCTGTAAAGATGTGCTGATATGAAGGAGGTCATTCACTTGAGGCACCTAGACTGTGGAATTTGGTTGTCACTTAGTACTGAGTGGCTCTTGTAGTGTGCTTGTGAAGCATGCCTTTTTCCCTTTTATTTCAGAAGTGATTTCTAGTCATTTTACTTGTTTTAGTTGATTATTTTATTTTATTTAGTTGATTATTTTAATGACTTGCTAGTAGAACCTAAACCTAGGTGGTTTCTTTTTTTTTTTTTTTTTTTGATTTTTCGAGACAGGGTTTCTCTGTAGCTTTTGGTTCCTGTCCTGGAACTAGCTCTTGTAGACCAGGCTGGCCTCGAACTCACAGAGATCCGCCTGCCTCTGCCTCCCGAGTGCTGGGATTAAAGGCGTGCGCCACCACCGCCCGGCTAGGTGGTTTCTTGAATTAAAATATTTTCTAAAAATACTCCTTTATTTTCACTGTGTGTGCATAGTGCAGCTTTAGAGATCTTTGTTGTTGAATCTTCATCTTGAGGGTTGTGCTGTTACTGATACTAATTTATCTCCTGGTGTACTCAATAGTATTTTCCTTTTGTTGATATTTATAACTTCTTTTTCTTCCTATAGCTGTGCCATTGGCGGCCACAAGTATGTTGATTACTCAAGGATTAATTAGTAAAGGTAAGCATTTAAATTTTACATTTATTTAGCATTTTGGATAGCTTGCTTTATCTTATATTGATTTTTAAATAAGGAAACATTATCGTAGTAAGCATGGTCATTGATAAATTTATACAGTATTAGAAGAATTTTGTCTTTTTGGACCCACTCACTTGATTATATTGATTTGACATTTGATGGCATTGGGGCTGGGTATGTATTTTAATTGTTACAGTACATGTCTATGTACAGGAAGCCCTCAGGTTTAAACTGGTGGCACATACACGTAATCCCAGCCCTTGGGAAACTGAAGCAGAAAGTTCAGAAGTTCAAGGGCAACTTGGGCTACTTGAGACCCTGCCTCAAATCCCAACCAACCAGAGAATTTGATATTAACAATCTACAAAAGCAGGAAAGTACTTTAACATTTGTTGATAGGTCTGAAGAGATAGTTCAGTGGTTAAGAATACTTACTACTCTTCCAGAAGACCTGCGTTTAGTTCCTATATAAACTTCAGCTTTAGGAAACATATATGGCTTACACTCACACAGACGTACATTAAAAACTAACCAGCCAATCCTTGTGGCTAGTTTGCAAGGAGAACATCAAACCTGGTCTAGCTGAGCAGTGTGCTTACTTAGAGATTGTTAGAATGCAGATTCTAGGCTCTTACCCATCATACGAGTCAACGTCACAGTCTGTTTTACAAGTTTAAGGTGACTCCTGTGCACTGGCTTACATACCTGTAGTTCCCTAGTTCCCTGAACTAGCTTTGTCTTCTCATCTTGGGGAATAGGGAAGAATGAGTTAGCATTTAAAAAAAGTTTAGAAGATGGCTCAGCAGTTAAGAGAACTTGTGTTTGCAGAACACTCAGGTTCAGTTCCAAGCACCCTTATTTATGATGGTTGACAACTATTTGTGACTCATGTTCCAGAGGCCTTAACGCCCTCTTTTGGCCTCTGCAGGCACCTGTGTGCAGGTGATACACAGGCAAAGCACTGTTTAAATAGCGTAGATATTCAAGGGTCTCTAATATGTCTATATGTGCACACAGGTGCAACCTTGTCTGTCATTCTCCAAGCATTCCACACATGATCTCACTGGCCTAGAATTCGCCTGGGTAGGCAGGAGGGCCAGCAAGCCCCAGTTCTAGGATTACAAACTGAGCTATGTCTCTAGCCCATGGTAATCTTTTGTTAGTAGTCCCCAAAGAGGCTAAATTCGGTTGGCTTACATAGAACAGTTATCTCTGTGGGATTGAGTTTAGGTTAAATATTAATGTATCAGTGGTGCACCCAGCAGATTGCTTGTTAAATATACTTCATGAATTACTGGCCTGTTGTATCCTCTACCTGCATGTTTGGCAGAGAAGCATTCCAGAAAGTTGTGGTAATGTTACTATGACTCCAGACAATTTTTAAAAATCTGTTGACTAGCTCCTCTGTAAATGTGAATATGACAGAATGTGTTTGAGATTTTTTTTTTTTAATTTACTGTCAGAAAGCAGAATGTGATGTAACTCAGGCTGACCTTTTACTCAGTATATAAGAATTACCTTGAACTTTTAAGCCCTCTGCCTCCGCCTCCCAGGTGTGGGAATACAGACATGTTTCTACCTGTTTCTGGGATTCTGGGAGTCAGGCCCAGGCTTTGTGCATGGTGGGCATGCATGCGTTCTCTCAGCTGAATTACCTGCTCAACCCCATTTTAACTTTAACTAGATCATAGTGCTTTGACTGTTCATTTAGTCATAGAAAAATAAAACTGGTTTTAGTGTTGGAGGTGTAACTCAGTGATAGAGTTCTTGCCTAGTACTCAATCTCTGTTACCATTTATAAAATGGATTAGGGCAGGATCTGGGGCTTGGTGGATTAAGTTCTTATCATATAACTGAGAACCTGAGATTAATCCCCAGGACCCATGCAAAGCTGCAAGCCATAGTACATGGCTGTAATTCCATGGGTTCTGCCGTGAGATGGACAGAGACAGGATAATCCTGGAAGCTCACAGGTTAGCCTGCAATATGCAGGGATAAACAAAGAGATACCCTGTCTCAAACAAACAAGGTGGAAGGTGAGGCCTGATCCTCAGGGTTGTCACCATGCCCAGTACACACAAAGTGGATTTAGATTAAAATGGAAGGATCTGAGGAGCAGGGTAATAAAAGTATTGAAAGAATCTGCAAATAATTTCAGTGTAATGTATTATATGATCAAAATCTTAAACATGGAAACAACATGGAATATACATTTATATGCACTCCAAACTAAGTTGTTTCCTTCCTACGATAGGCTCTGTATTGGGGGAAACAATTTAGTCACATTAGTTTAAAGAAAAAACTGGCAAAGGGGTCAACAGAGAAATCAGTGTCAGTTTGTCATGTAATATGTGGCACTCCAGCGTGTCGCTTAACTAAGAATAAACAGAATTAGGTGTGGACTTGTACAAAAGAAATTTAAGAGCTGTAGTAGTCATCCTAAGAAACATGCATGTGAACATGGACTGCAGCAAGTAGTCATCCTAAGGAACCTGCATGTGAACATGGCTGACACAAAGAAACATTATGTCCTGAAATGCTCAGATGTAGGTGTTCAAAGAAGATAGCTGTCAATCTTTAAAAGAAGTGATTCAGGGTAAAAGCAAAGGAAGAATGAATCAGGAAGGAGGAACATGACTGATGGAAAGGCGTCTGTGTGAGGCCAGTGCCCCTTCTTCCACCCCAGCACTCCACTCCAAAAGGATATTGGTAGGTGCAGAGGCAAAATCAGGAACACAATTAAATAGATAAGTTAGAACTAGAAGAAGGAATAATTACCTTTTTGATTTATGGTGTGTAGAAGAAAAAGTTTTAGACCCCCCCCCCCCCCCCCCACACACACACCGTGGTAACATGAAATCCTAGGCAGTTGAGAATAAGGTAGAAAGGACAGGCTTTTGGGAAAGGAGTCAGACAAGATCTTCAAAGACATATATTTTAATAGCATCTTTTCCGTAGTACATTATGCTTGACGTGCTATACTGGCTGTTCCCCTTAGTACTTGATCTAATAAGAAAGGATAGAGAACATAAAAGGAAAAGCCTCCTTTCATGTTTCTCTGACTGTTTTTTACTGTTTCAAATCTGAGTTCATGAATGAGCGCTTGGCTATTTATGTGTTTTAATCCATTACAGTCTGTGTCATTCATTTTCATATGTTTATCATTGTTGGAAATGTCAAAGGTCATCACTATAACCTCTGTGATGCTCGAACTTGATGGGCAGTTTTTATCTTTGACCAACATCACTCATTAGTACCAATTTTTCTTTTAGGGGTGGTGGCATTCCAACTGGGTTTCACTGTGTAGCCCTGGGTGCCTTGGAACTCTGTGTAGTCCGGCTAGCCTTGAACTCAGAGATGAACCTGTCTCTGTCTCCCATGCACTGGGGGTAAAGGCATGTGCTTACGCACCTCACTCCATTAACCAGTTCTTTTTTTTATTTTTTTTGGTTTTTCGAGACAGGGTTTCTCTGTGGTTTTGGAGCCTGTCCTGGAACTAGCTCTTGTAGACCAGGCTGGTCTCGAACTCGCAGAGATCCGCCTGCCTCTGCCTCCCAAGTGCTGGGATTAAAGGCGTGCGCCACCACCGCCGGGCTAATTAACCAGTTCTTGAAGCGTTCTTTTTATTCATTTCCACAGTGGCATACCCAGCCTTGCTCAATTTTTTTTCATGCTTTTGGAAAGCTGTTACGTATTGTGCTGTTTTAATGCTATGCAGCACAAAAGGACTAATTTTTACTGTCTTATGCTCACGTTATTAACATTGGTTTTCTTCATTTGTCTTAGAAATGTTAAAGTTTGGTTTTGGCTTTTTGTATGTGCACATTTTTTTTGTAAGTGGACCTGGAAATTGAACCCAGACCTTTGCTAAATACATGCTCTGTCACTGAGCTACACCCCAGTTCAAGTCTGTGTACTACTAAGCTAGCAATGACATGGGTTTTAGTGACAGTGCTTACAGCTAAATCCCCATGATTGGGTCAGCGAGGTGGCTTTGAGAGTACATGTGCTTACTGCTAAGCCTGGCAGCCCGAGTTCTGACCTCAGAAGCCCCTTTGCCGGTTGTCTTCTGTGCTTGCCATGCCATGCAACCACACACACATGCATACAATGAGCAAATAGAGTCCCCATGGTTATCTCTAGCCCAGCATTGATGAACTGCTTCTTGTATTCTAGGGATTTAAAATCTTTGTCTACCTGGATAAGAAGGTGATCGCTTACACTTTTTTTCCATAAGCTTTTTCTTTCATAATTAAAATTGGAAGCCACCTGGACTCAAGGTCCATGCCACTGACCGCACTGTTCTGAAAGGACGATTTTTATTCACTGCACTGCACTGTTGCTTTTTTTTCTTAGAAGACAGTTTATGTATGAGACCATTTCTGAGTTCTTGGCTTTGTTCATCTTATTCTTGCATCTAAATGACTGTCTTAATTACTATTACTTTATCAGTAGGTCTTGGTACCTGATGATAGTTTATTCTTCAATGTTACCTTGGCTGTTTGTGTCTGCATGCAGTTTTTAAAATAAGGAAAGCATATTTTGATTTTATGTGGAACCTTGAGTTTGTAGGTGAATTTATAGAGAACTGCCTTCTTCACAGTTCACTTCTTGAACATGGAGTATTTCTTCATATTCATATGAATTCCTTGGTAGTTTTCTAGTTTTTAGTGTAGACCTGGTTTTATATGTTTGATTAGAGTTCTTCCTGGCTCTGGGATAATTTTTAGTCCTGTAATTGATCAAATCTTTTAAGTGTTTGTTATTGTTGATCTTGGTAGGTAGAAATATTTATAGTCTCTTGACTGTGACAAGTGGTCATTTCTGTATTTACCTATTGCAGTAGACTATAGTGTTTTGACATTTAGAACATTTTCTGTTGACACTGAATTCACAACACAGAGTTGCTGTTGGCAGTTGCTGTTTTAAGATAGTCGAAACTGGTTTTTCCTTCTCTGACAGTGTTACTCAGAAATACTTCACTCTTCTTTAGGAATCCTGTCAAGTCATCCAAAATACGGCTCCATTCCTAAACTTATATGTAAGTATGAACAATGCTGTGTTTTTCCTTCCATTTTTACAAATGATTAAATTTAAATCAGATATTTCAGGTAACTAATATTACATGTTTATATACTGCCACAAATCAAGTTGTTTGAGCTTTTCAATAAGTTCACTGCTTGACAATCTTAATGTCAGCATTGAAAGTCCTGTGTTAGTTAAAAGACTCCTCTCCCCTTTTTGTAATATAAAATTGCTTTTCATTTGATTTTACTTTATACACAGTTCTTGAAATAAATTCTTTTTATTTATTTATTTTTGTTTTTTTGAGACAGGGTTTCTCTATAGCTTAGGAGCCTGTCCTGGAACTATCTCTTGCAGACCAGGCTGGCCTAGAACTCACAGAGATCCAACTGCCTCTGCCTCCTGAGTGCTGGGATTAAAGGTGTACACTACCACTGCCCCGCGAAAATAAATTCTTGCTTTGTTTATAGTAAAAGGGAAGTTACCTAGATATTCTGCTAATCCAGATTATTATGTCTGGAATTGGCTTTTTCCCTCTTTAATTTATGTTCCACTTTGTGGTTGAAAAAAGAAACTAAATTGTTCTTTTTGAAATGGATATGATCTTTTTTTTTTTTTTTTTTTTTTTTTTTTTTTTTTTTTGGTTTTTCAAGACAGGGTTTCTCTGTGGTTTTGGAGCCTGTCCTGGAACTAGCTCTTGTAGACCAGGCTGGTCTCGAACTCACAGAGATCCGCCTGCCTCTGCCTCCCGAGTGCTGGGATTAAAGGCGTGCGCCACCACCGCCCGGCATGGATATGATCTTTATGAAACTTTTTGGGGTAGCTTCTCTTTTATTGGAAACATACATGATACAGCAATGTCAAAATTACAAATGAATTTGTAATTCTTTATTTTAATGGACTTGTTATACTGAGTTTTGTTTTTAAAGCAATCTTTTGAAATTGTTGGGGCTTGTAACACAGTTCCAATTTACAATAAAACAAATGCCCAGGTCCCCATGACTAGAACCTATTTGTTTACTTGTCCATCTCTCTCTGTCTTGCTCCTGCATATGAAGTGTGGTGTGTTGGGATTGTTTATGTCAATGCTGCTTTACTTGGACTGAGTTACTTTGGGGAAAGCGAATTATATCATAGACTTTTTTGTTTGAATTTTATCTTTTATCATCATCTTAAGTTAATCTTAATGTTTCTAAAACCTTAGAGATATTTAGAGATGTACTTTTTAAAAATGTTGTTTCAGAAAAAATTGCCTAAAAAGGCCCATTCAGTGACATAATTTTCTGTTTGTTTTTGCAAATCAGTTGCATGTATCATGGGGTACTTTGCTGGGAAGCTTTCTTATGTGAAAACCTGCCAAGAAAAGTTCAAGAATCTTGAAAACTCCCCCCTTGGAGAAGCTCTGCGGTCAGGCCAAGCAAGGCGCTCTTCCCCACCTGGGTAGGTCAGTTCTCGGCTCCACTTAGGGTTTTGGTTTTTAAGAAACAGAATGCAAGACCTGGAGCTCTGCCTGCGGAATGGCCATTTGCTCTAGTCTAGAAGTGTTTTGCCTTATGAAGTAGAACAAGATTTGGCTACTTTATGACCTGTCCAAGAATTAAAGGGCTTTTGTTTTGATTCAATTTGGCAAGTTCTTTTGGTAATTTATTGCATTTTGGACTTCTTTCAAGTTACCAGATTCTGTTAATCTCTCCCAATGGATAGCCATTTTTTTTGTTGTTGTTGTTGCTTATTAGGGAAATAAACTTAGCATAAAGTTCATTTTTCTTGAAACTTGGAATACATGTTTGCTTTGATTGTCTCATACCAAGAACCAGAGAGAATTCTTAAGGTATATACAAAATGAACTGGTGCCTAAATAAATTTTTGGTGTAAATTGATACAGGTATTTTGAAGTTTTGTTTATTTGTTATTTACAAAGCTGTACATCAGATAAAAAGGAAAAGCAAACCCCATAGGCTCTAGGTTGTTTACAACTTTAAGTAGAGGAAAATCTAAAATCAGCGTCCTGTCCAGAGGAGGTAATGAATGAGATTATGTTATGTATAATTGTGGGTATTGTGAGGTACTTTATAACTGCAAAGTCTGTGAAGCATCTGAGTGAAATGTTTTTTATAAACTAAAAGATAAAAAGTATAAAATAATGTATATAAGTTTATGCCAATAAAAATAGTATAAGAGATTAGTAGTGCTGGTTGTGATTGTCACATTTTATCCTCGTACTCAAACTTCTGCAGTGTGGTTTTGAAAATGAAACAACTACAATAAAAGTCTTGCAGAATGATAACATGGCAAGGTTTCCACTTGGAAAGGTGAAACAGGAGAATTAAGTGTCAGGCCAGCCTGGGCTACATCTTTACATCCTGTCCCCCAAACAAAGCACTTTGAAATGTTAAAAATTTTAGAGTACTAAAGCTAGATGTAATTGCACATGGCATTAATCCCAGCACTTGGGAGGCAGGAGCAAGTGGAGCTGTGTTTCAAGGCCAGCCTGGTGTACAAAGAGATATCCAGGACAGCCAGGGCTACCCTGTCTCAAAACAACAACAAAAATATTTCAGACTTCTAAATCTCATAAAGCAGTGTTTAACCCATTGCTGAGATTCTTCAGATTGTGGTTTAGATTTTGTATTGTGAAAATATAAATAACTGTATGGGTAGGTAAATAGGTAAGTAGTAAGATCATTAATCAGACTGATGAATTATTTCATAGAGGAAACAATGTAAATTTTATGAGAAATTTACCTGTGAGAATTATCAGACTAATACCTGTGTCTGTATCGGCAAGTCATGGTTTCTATGGACTACAGCTGTGGAATAAGCTCCGTATTAAATGGATGCATAGACACATTGATTGAAACCTCATCTGAAAGATGTTTTTCTTTGTAAGAGCCTTAATACACACAATGAAATTACCCTCCAAAGCTAAATACTTAGAAATTGAATATATGTTTTTCTATTTCCCTTCATTCAATGACTGTTTACTTTTGAGGCAGTTATGCTATGGCCCAGTCTAGCCTCCAACTCAGGATCCTCCCATCTGAGCTTTCCTAGGACTGGGATTTCCATGTTTTCCATCATATTTAGTTAGTGACCATTTTTTAGTTGCCAAAGTAGAACAGGACATAGCTTAGCTACTTTTATGGATAATTTATAAATAATTTAAAATTATTAATTTTATAAATAGTTTAAAATTATGATATTAGAAACTCATTGCTTATTTTTATACATTAATCTAAAGTCCTTGTTCTTACGTATTATGATGTTTTTTTACAGGCATTATGCTCAAAGATCCAGATATGACTCCAATATGAGTGGTCAGTCCTCCTTTGTGACGTCTCCTGCAGCAGACAGCATAGAAAAGGAGGCGCTTCCTCGTTACGAGCCAATTCCATTTAGTGCGTCTATGAATGAATCCACTCCCACTGGTATTACTGACCATATTGCCCAAGGTAGAAACTTCTCTTGAAATGAATTTCAGCATTTATTGGTCCAACGTATGTATACACTTTATTTGATGCTCTTTTCTGCTGGATATCTTGTCTGTGTGCTACCGTTAGCTGTCAGCCTAGCTTCATCCATCAGCCTGACTCAACATGTTTGTTCTTTTCTTTTCTCCTGATTCTTCACTCATCCAGCTACTCTTGCTAGGGAGGGAAAAGATAAAGATGAGCAAGGCCTGGTTCTTATCCTTAAGAAACTCAGTTATTTAGAGGATACGGAAATAGATGGATAAACTTATCCATAGATTTTTGCAGTGGTTGAAAATGTTCCAGATGTAGAGGAACAGCAAATAAGAGGTTACTGTCTGTGGGCAGCGGAGACTCCAGGAAGGTATAGGTTATATTTGATAGGCTGGTCTTAAAGGCTTTTAGTGTCTTGCCTGTAATTATAAGAAAAAAAATTCTTACCTGCTTTATAGAATTGTTGCATGGGGAAATCCACTGGAAAGTGCATTGTGAAGTTTGTGTCAATACTAAGTTCAGAGTGCAGTGTGTGTGAAGTAAAAATTTTGGATTAAGGCCAGGATGTAAGTTATGTTTAAAATTTGATATGATCTTGTAGTCATTGTCAACTAATTTGTATTTCTTCATCTTGAATGGAGACAGCACTGTTGGGATTAGATGAACTAGCCGGACGATGCTGGCAGAGAGTAAATTGAACAAACAGATGTTAGATTCCTTCCTTTCATTCTACTCTACAGTGAAAGATAGGGGTTTAGAAACAGAAAGACAGACCCGCTTTTTTTTTTTTTATCTAAAAACCCTAAAACATCAAGAGCCATGGAAACTAGAAGTTAGGACTGGAACATATTTGGCAGCAAGTTGTGATCTTTATTTGCTTTATTTAAAATGATTTTTCCTATACTTTGTTATAGAACTATTGATATGTTTACTTAGGCATTCCTGTCCTGACCTGGCTGAAGATACTATATTTGTTAATATATTTCTCAAGTTTGTGACATCTCTAACTCAAAGGACTTAGATAAGAAATTGTGGACCTGGGGCTGGAGAGATGGCTCAGAGGTTAAGAGCATTGCCTGCTCTTCCAAAGGTCCTGAGTTCAATTCCCAGCAACCACATGGTGGCTCACAACCATCTGTAATGGGGTCTGGTGCCCTCTTCTGGCCTGCAGGCATACACACAGACAGAATATTGTATATATAATAAATAAATAAAATAAACATTTAAAAAAAAAAAGAAATTGTGGACCTATATAAAGTATGCTTCGAGAATTATTTTGAAGGCTAACTTAGCAACAGTTAGGGGCTTGGCTTTGTTTTTGTCCTTTTGAATCTAGAGTGAATCTCCATATAGGTTAAAGAGATGGAGGAAGAGAAGGGTGCAGTGAAAAAGAGAAACTGATGATAAGTTAAGGGATGTTTAAGAGGGTCCAAAAAGGGACTTAGATAGCTTTAATAAATAAAGTATCCACAAGCCAAGTGTGGCTTTGTAAGTTAGTTAGAACTAAATGAAATGTAAAGTTAGTTTCTGTGGCCTTGGTAGCACTTCAGTTGCTCAGTATCCTTGCATGCATGTGGTAGCTGATTTGGATGTGGCAGTGTAGAATACTGTCACTGAAGATTTACTGGATACAAAGCTTTTTGGTGGAAGTTTGGGCGGAAGGGAAGTGACAGTTGCAGAAGATAAAAGGCTTGAGTTCAGGAGAATGTTGTTGAATACCTTAGTCTTAAGGCCTCCGCGCTTTCTCTGGTTGGCACCAGATACCACATGAGAACAGAAAAGAGACAGGCAGAGTAAAGATACCGTTGTAGCTCTGACAGCAGCTGTTCTTGTCCTTCACTGTTTCATTTTTTCATTTGTGTTCTGATCCATTCTTCCTGTAGCCTAGGCATGCACCAGCTCTTTCCTTGCAGTGTTGTGCATCCTTCCTACCATTTTCATCAACAAAATCTTGTGTTCTAATTTTTTTCCCCATATAAGAGCAGATAAAAGTTATTTTGATCTTTACCCACAAGTGAGCATAATCCATATTTAATATCATTTTAATGCCCTCCATAGCATCTGTCCACTTCTGGGTTTTGTATGTATGTTGTCATCCTTCCTTCTAGGTCAAACTTAACACTGTTATCATTGTTCCCCTTGTGGGTCCTGGAGCTGCCTTGCTTTGCCCAGCTGCTGCCCTTCCTTCCAGGGCACCTTCTTTTGCCTTTTGTCATGTTTGACCACTTTTTAGCTTTCTTTTTCTAGAATCCCAAAAACTTAGTGATCTTTTTAAAGTAGAAGGCATTCTGCCATATCTGTTAGAAAAATTGCCACGGGTAGTTGGTTAGTTTTGGGCAGTGCTTTTGCTCCTTTCGTATTCCTTCCAGGTCTTATTCACATTCACAAAGCAGTAAAGTACATTCTCAGTGCAGGGTCAGAACATTTCCATTGGAGAAAATACCTATCAGTCTTCTCTTTGGTCATGATTTCATTTATCACAGAACAGTGGAATAATAAAGTGTTTCTTTTTTGCCTAAGAAAAAAATTAGACCTGGAAGGAATTGTAGAGATCAGTATTCAAGTTCTTCACCACTGGGAAAAGCTAGAGTCAGAGACGCTTAGTGATTTGCCCAAGGACTCGTGCTGATGGCTAAATGAGCAAGGATGCAGACCCAGCAGCGTCCTGGAAAGTTCCAGCTGCCTTGGCACTTTAGAAATGCAAGTTCACTGGTTGTTTACTGCCAATGTAATCCAAGTGTTTAAAATCGATGTAAGGTTATTCTTAAGTTAATGTAAGATTGTTTTTCTTCTTATCCAGGAAAAATGAGTTTCTAATCATGGCATATTAGAACAAATTATAAATTGAACTCTTGTTTCTTTTTGTTGATGCAGTATACATTTACCAAGATAAAAGATTAGAGTTGAAAATGCTATTTATTATTTGCTACTTAGAAGATTCTGATTATTCACTGGAGTTTTAAATAAATTTGTGAAAATTGATTCAAAATTTAGTTTTTTACTAAAATAACATGCACTGTTTTTGTCCCTTGCTGGCCAGTACTTTCAGTGAGGTGTATAGAACGTGAGTAGGTGTGCTCTGAAGGTATCATCAGTTATCCTTTTGAAATGCTCTTGTGAATCTTTGCTATTTATGAACTTAAACTGTGTTGTGTATTTGAGCTCGTAACTGTAGAGAGGCCGCTCTACAACGTGTGTATTTGACCCTGATGCTGCTCACACATAGATTCTCTCTGGTATGGAAGAGAACACATAGCTAACATGGACCTTTTCTTCCCCCTCGGTACTGGGGGTCAGACCAGTGGACTCAGGCCCACTTTGTTTCATACCATGGAATGGTTATTTCAAATATTTTTGTTTAACTACCCTAAACATAGTAAAAAATTTTTAGATAGTATGTGCCCATAGAAATATTAATATGATTTACTGTAAAACTTTGTTTAGTTGTGACCAGTAGACTCTAATTCTATACACAGTATAATGACTCTAGCATTTAGTAAATGTAAGGCACACTGTTAGATCTTAGCGTTTTTATCTTTTTCTGGCTGTGGCTGAGTTTATAAAAATTTTGATAATTGTAAATCTCAGAAGAACAAGGAGGAGAGATTGTACTTCCGCAATTGTCTTAGAGGAAGTCAGTGCCTTTGGAGTGATAGTAATATTTAATTTTTCTGTTTCAGTTTTAGGTAAAAATCATTTGCAAAATTTAGTCACTTTAGACGTTATCTACATCTTATCACCACTTCTTAACTGTTTGTTGTTTTAGGACCTGATCCCAACTTTGAAGAAAGTCCCAAAAGAAAAAGTATTACATATGAGGAATTAAGGAGTAAGAACAGAGAGTCCTATGAAGTAACTTTAACACACAAGACTGACCCCTCAGTCAGGCCTGTGCAGGAAAGAGTGCCCAAAAAAGAAGGTATGCTAGTAGTTTAATCACAGGACTCTTTGGAGCGGAAGCTGAAGTGTCAGCTTAAAATGTTACGATATTGATGTGTCTTTAGCTCTTCAAGCTACTCACTAAAATAATTTGTTTTTAAAAGAATAGTTATTTCAGAGTGGGCGAAATGGGTCATCAGGTAAAGGCGCCTGTCACCAAGCCTTATAACCTGACTTCAATCCCTGGAGATGTATGTGATGGAGAGAAAAGAACCAGCTTCAGAAAGATGTCCTCTGGCATGATGCAACACACACACGCACACAAAAATAATAAATTGATTTAATTTTTAAAAACTTTACTTATTTTGTAGTTACCACTTCTCCTGTTTTAAGGTGTTTCAGAGGATGTTTAAAAAAAAAAAGCCTAGACAGTAAGACACAAAACAAGGAAGCCAGCTCTCTAGTACAGTGTTTCTCCTTAGAAGGAAACATTGTAGGAATTGATAGCTTTTCCTAACAATTCAGTGTGTCTGTTACATAATCACATTTAGTGACCAGAGACTGATAGCTGGTCATTAGTCATACTTTTGGCAAAATCATGGAGTCGTAATTGAGTAATAAGACACTTTAAGGCATTTCTAGAGGAGGAATTTGACTTTTTCTCTATTACTAATAAATGTAAGTTATAATTTAATCTTTTTTGGACAACAGTATGTTACAAAAGTAAAAGTGTAGACATTTTTCATATAAAGGAAGGAGACATTTTTACTAGGTTTTGTAACTGATTATTTTGACGGGATGTCAAGGATGGGCTTGAAGGTTTTCTCTGCACTCATTTAAAAGTTAAGTGTACAAGACCCTGGTTTCTATTCGTAGCACAACAATGTCATGGGTAAATACTGTCCTCATAAGAATAGGTCTTCTCTAGGGCCATATGTAAAATACAGAGCAATCCTTACTAGTATTGTAATGATTTTAGAACTGATTTGATGTCTAGTAGTTAATAGTTGATTTATTTACAACTGCTTTTATAATCACAAGGCATCAATTTTGTTGTAAATTCTTTACCTTTGAGCTAGATTTGTGATCTAGAACACTAAACTCTGTTGCTGGCCATCCTTTGTGCTGATAGACCGTGGCTCAGACTGTAAGCTCCTTGAGGGCAGGAACTGTCCCCCCTTTTTCTGCTCCTTTACTCCATGTTTCCCAGCACAGCATTTGCACTCGTGTCAGGAAGGAGCTGTTGCCTTGATTTTTACCTGTTCATCTCAGTCTGCTAGGCGAGGGAAAGAGTTCTGTGCACTTGACCTGGAGCTCTAGCTGGATGCTCTTGAAATGCTAGTATGTGACACACTAGTAAATCACAGCCCTTTTCTTGCTAGAAGAAAACTGAGGTTTTCCTTATGTTTCATACTACAATGTAAAGAAAAGGCCTGCCATGAAATTGTGATTTTTGTTTTTCTAAAATGTTCTTGAGTCTAGGTAGAAATTTGGACATTGGTACATTGGTATAAATTCAAAATTTCTGAAAATAATAGTATTTTGAGCTTGCGTTTATATGGATTATATTTATACTATTTATCTCACTGGAAAGTAAGATAGAAAGCATATATTATCAGAGCAGTATTAACCACACGTCACGGATGCTTGGAAAACTGCCGTGTGGTTACAAAGGAGCAAAGAGAAATGTGAGGAGAACGGGCAGAGTAATGATTGTAGTGTCATAATAAAAAGGCAGCTTTGACTTCTAGATTCTCAGAAGAGCCACACTGCAATCATTGCTTCTTTACGTTAGAATAACCTCTTTGCTGCGGGTGCTAATTCACAGATGAGAAGTGAAAGAATGGAGGAAACAGGGACTGAGTGCAGCTCAGTGCGCTTTCCCAGCGTGTCTGGGCCCTGGGCTCCATCAGCACTGCCAAAGGAGGCAGAGGAGCAGGTTTCACATTTTAATATGTAAGATGCGGAATATGGGAAATAGTTATAATTTCTCCTTGTCCTTTGGCAGCTGATAGGAAAGATTGAGTTAACTACATTTCTGTTATTTAATTTTTGTGAAAAGCAAAATTCAAGTTTATTAGTGGTGCTTTTTTTTTTGGATTCCTGGTAACTTTGTTTTCGTATGTGCTATCATATGCAACTACATGCTCTTTGAGGTAAACTTGTAAAGGCAAGCGCCCAGACTTAGGACTAAAACAGGTCTCCAAATCTTAGGGTTTTTTTTAAGGCTTATACCTTGGGCAAGTTACTAATCTGCTCTCTGGCCTTTAAGGTGGGCATTGTGCGGGGCTATGTAAAGTTCTTGATAAAGGACATTTGTAGTCAGCCTATATAGTTGACTTGCAGGTACTTTGTTCGCACTGTGCAAGCACAGCTTCTCATCCTCCTAACAGACTTAACGTGGTGTCCTTTACTGTTTGGAATCATCATTGTTTGTGCTTTTTTCCTAGTCAAAGTAAACAAATACGGAGATACTTGGGATGAGTGAGAGACCCCGTCATTGGACCTACTGAAGGCCTTCCATACCCAGCTTCATCCAGGTGGTGCACGCCCTGCATGCCTGGACTCTGCAGCAGTCTTCATAAACACATTGAAAACGAAATCCTGGTTTGTGTGATTTAACATTTGATGCTTTACAAACACAGATTTTAGTGTTTACTGTTGTGTAAATGTTGTGACCCAGGGCACTCAGAATGACGGTATTAGGCCATGGCTTGTACACTTGGTGACAGGGAAAGACTCGTGAAATTTGACTGTGACTCTAGATAAAGCTATGTGAAGACAAGTGATAGTGCATGCCGCGGGGGGAGGAGGGAGCACACATCTGGGGTTCAGCTTTATATCAGTTATTAAAAGGCCTTTCTTCAGCATTTGCTCTAGCATCTTAATGTTTATGGTGAATAAAATGTAAAACACGCATCAGCTGTCATTCTCGTTTTTATGGCTTGGTTTAAAATTTGCTAATGTGTTTTCGTGTATGGGTCTAAGTGCTTGGTATTTAAAGCAAAAGATCTGTGATGCAGTAGACACTAATATACAGTAAATCCCTAAATATCTTTAAACGCAGTGCTCTTTGTGTCAGCCTTTGGTCACCAGAATCAGATCTCTGGGACAATAAAAAGAAAACCTTACTTTGTCTGGTTCCAGGCCCTGTGAAGCCGTGCACTGTTAGGAAGCACTTGGCAGGTAAAGGTCACTTAAAATGCCAGCAGGGGAACCAGAAGCTGTCATCCCTCAGTCCCCTTCCAGGGCCTGCCCTCAGTGCTCTGAACTTCCCACAAGGTCTCACCGGTGGCTCAAAGGTTCAACTACAGCCCACTAGTACCACTCTAGGGACCAAGCCTTTAACACATTAACTTCAAACTAGCACAGCTATGTTTCCAAATTTTGCTATAGTTTCGTTATTGATGAAAAGTTTATTTCTGGTTCAGGTAAATTGAAAAATGTGGTCTTAGACCAGAAACATGTTTTAACTATTAGAAAATAGCCCCAGATTTGGTGGCTTATAGCTGAGCTTAGTGCTACTGTTAACCCTGGCATTTGTGAAGCTGGGGCAGGAGGGTTCAAGGTTGAGGCCAGGTTGGAACTACCTTAATAGTAACTTCTAGACTAGCCTAATATGTGCTAGATAGTAGGGTTCTGTCTCAGAAAACAAACCAGAACGGAGCATCTCACTTTACTCTGAGTCGGGATTCTGCTGAGGCAGTTGACTGTGGGTATATTAGTGCAGTGGGCGCTAGACAGCTAAACCTGGGGAGTCCAGTGCTGGGTCTGCCTTGGTGGGTTGAGTTTTAGGGTGTTGCTGTGTTTATGTGGATTAGATTAGACTGTGGCAGGCCTGAGGATCTTGAAGGATTGGGACTTGTGTGTCAGCGTGAAGAGAAAACGTCGCCAAAGCTACTTGCCTGTTGGCAGTATCAGCACCAGCGTGTTTTCTAGCGGCTGGGTCTGTAGACGCGGCTGATGTGTTTGTTAGCCCTTCCACCTCTGGCCTGACTTGGAAATTGCAGTTCTGCCTCAGCCTTGTGGGCAGTGGGATTAAGGCATGAGCCACCACACCCAGCTTTTGCTCACATTTTAGAACAGTCATGGCGGTGTCTCAGTCTGCTCTTGGGCCCCATCCATACCTACACTAGTCAAGCCCACACCTTCCTAGGACCCAACAGCTCAAGTGCGGGAGCTCATACAGTCTGTTCTGGGTGGATTACTGTGGGTAAAGCTCATAGTCTGGAGACCTGGGAACTCAGCATTACCTGCCCTGTTTACCCTCAATGGGAATCTTAGGCATAATGTCACTAGTTAGCTATTGCTGCTGAAGAAGCCAAACACAGTCTCTTGTCCATAGCCACCCTGAGGTCCAGCCAGTGTCATACAGTTTCTTATGAATGAGAGAGAGTTTATGTTGGGGTCTGGTCTAGAGAGATAATTCATGGTCTGGGCTGGAACCGTCCCCGACATTAGGCATATTCCCTGGGGTTGTTGCCCCCTTAATCTTCCTTTCCCTAAATGTCTCGTATTTGCTTCTATGGAGTTTTCTCAGCTGACTCCCACTCACAGGGAGGAACCAAAGGCCTCATGCCGTCCTGCCGGAACCAGCTTAATCCTTTCTAAAACCTGGACCTTTCATGGATCAACGTATGAGTCACTTTATTATGCAAGCCTCCTGTGCCTGTTGGGCTACATATAAAAATAAGATTCAGTGACACCTTGGGCTGGTTCTACAAGGCCAAGAAACCTTCCCATAGTTTCCATTTTGTAGTTGAAATGCCTTTTTAAGGTTTGCATATGTGTACCACATGCATGCCTGGTTTCCATGGAGGTCGGAAGAAGGCATCAGATCTCATGGGACGAGTTAGGAATGGTTGTGAGCCACCATTTGGCTACCATGAACCCAATCTGTGTCCTCAGGAAGAGCAGAAGTGCTCTTGCCTGCTGAGCTATCTTAACCTGTCCCTTTTGAAATGTCTTAAACACTGTCTTTCTGAGACCTTGAACACTTGCTGTGGTGTGTGTTTTTCCTTCCAGCTGGGGATTGAACCCGGAGCCTTGCAAGAGCTTTCTCACTAAACTATGTTTCCCAGCCTTTTTGAATGAAGCATCATGTCCCACTTTAGGTTCAGCTTTATTTGGCCACCGTCTCAACACACGGAGGTTGAGAGCAGTAGTAAGGACGGTTCAGAGCTCTTCTTTTTTTTAATTTCCAGTTTTAGATGGAGTAATTTGTTTATGTCTCCTGGCTTGCTGCTGCCTGGGAGTGTTAGCAAGACTGTCAAGTTCATCAGACACACGTCCTGTTGAACTTCGCTGCTTTAAGGGTCTTGTCTCCAGCTTCTAAGAACTCTTCCTTAGCCCTTCATGGATCACCCACACACACCCTCCCTGTTCCGCGTCCCATCTCTCCTGCCAGCTTCTACCTGCTGCTCAATCCTAAAATAAATGCAGGGCCTTCTTGCAGCTTGGGTTTGATATAAAAGCAGGGCTGTTAGGAGTGCTGCAGAGTAAGAGATGGGCAGTGGGAACTAGACCTTGACAGCTAGGAAGCTGACGTCACAGCCCCCAGGCTACTACTGCCTCTGAATCTAATACCGACCACTTATCCTCTTGTGGCCATGGAGACAAATGGACACATAGAAAGCCTCTTGTTTTAAAAATGATACAGGTGTGCCCTGCTCACAGTAGGAAGGAAATTGCTCAATGACTGGCGAAAGGCAGCCATGTAGGAAGAGGAAAAGAGCTGGTGAGAATCAAACAGGCTGCTGATGGGAAGCCCTGCTCTGAACTCTAGTGACAGCTGTAACCAGTGGGTCTGTATTACACCCTTCATTTCATCTTCCTCTACTTCGTCCTTGAAGGTTGGACTGCCCGTTATCAGTGGACCCCTATTTTTCTTTTTTTTTCTTTTTTTTTTTCTTTTTTAAATTTATTTATTTATTAAGGATTTCTGCCTCGTCCCCACAACCGCTTCCCCCTATTTTTCATACGTTGCCATATGTATCGTAGGTACTGGGAAACCTTGTTAATGAATGAGTCTGAGCTTGACCATGAGGACTGTGGCAATGTTCTTGACTTACAAAACATCAGAAAACAAGACTTGGGGTTTTTGTTTTGTTACTGTTGTTTTGTTTGTTTTTTGCTTTGTTTTGTTTTCTTCTGAGACAAGGTTTCTCTCACAGAGATCTGCCTGCTGCTACCTGAGTGTGCATTAAAGGCATACACCACCACCCAGTGAGAGACTTGTTTTTAAAATTTAATTTTATATGTGTGAGTGTTTTTCTGCATATATGTCTGAAGACCAGAAAGTCAGATCCCCCGTTACTGGAGTATGTTGATCGTGAGCTGCCGTGTGGGAGCTGGAAACTGAACCCAGTGCTCTTAACCCCTGAGCCATCCCTCCAGTCTATTTAAAAATATTCTTTATCCTACTTTGTTTTGCTTTTATGAAACAGGTCTCAAGGAGCTGGGATTGGTTTGAAACTCAATCTTAGTGGAAGATGACCCTGAACTGATCCTCCCCACCTCAGACCCTGCCGAACTGGATAAACCTTGCTCATTTCACTTCCCAGGTCCACTCTCTTTTGCCATCTGTCCCCAAACCCCTTTCCTTTCCCATCCACGTGTAGAGGTGAGAGAATATCTCTTAATAAACCATGGCGCTGTTTGAAGTATTTATTAGAATGTATTCAGAAAGGACTCCAGACAAAACTCATACCCAGAAGGTTATCTGTTCCAAAGTGCTGGGGAAGTTCCTTAGTCCCTATAACACGTTCTTCCCATAAGAATGAGGCACCTACCTCAAGATGGCTTTTCCAGAGGATTGGGGTTCAACTCCAAGCACTCACATGGTGGCTCACAACCATTCATAATTCCAGTTTCAGGGCAGATGACACCCTTTTCTGACCTTCAAGGACACCGGGCACACGTGTGGTGCACATAAGTAGATGCATGCAAAACACTCATCTAGAAAACAAAAAAGACTTTGATAGTGCACCCACCTACCTACCTGCCTAACCAGAGACTTTGGAAAAAGCAAATCGAAAATAGTACTGAGAAATATATAGGTCAAATATATAGTTCAGAATGACCAATTGCATGTACACAAAATGAGAAGAAGACCTTAAAAGTAGGCTACGTGCAAAAGCCTAGCCCAAAGCATGACACCATGGTGTGTCTTGGACCACACTAATAGCAGTGACAGTAGAAACAAGGGACTTCCATTGATTGGCTCCTCAGCCTTCACTGTTCTAAACATTTTGTGATTATCAGCTCATTTGATATTCATGAACAACTTGCCATAAGGACATCAGCCTAGTATGATTTTCATTTCTAATGAGAAAACTGGGGCCCAGAATAGATAAGTAATAACCCAAAGTCAAGAAGTGGGAACCCAGATTCGATAGGGTCTTTGCTAATAGTTTCAGTGCCCGAAGTAGAATCATCCTTGTTGCGTTGCCACCAAATTGCTCTCTGAACTTCTCACTGCGCTGTGGAGTCTTCGTGTGTGAGGACGCCAGACGGAACGGTCTCCCCAGACCAGGATATGGAGGGCCTGGAAAGCCACTCCAATGCTTGAAAAGACTGAGGCTCCTTAACCGGAAGTTTAAGAGCTGTCAGGTGAAAGTGTAGCTTCTGGGGAATCACCACCTGAGATGGACATACTTAGAACACACCTACGTCTGCAAGACCTCTGCATGGGGAGCCTGAGAGACTCCAAAGGCACACAGCCTGTCCTCAAGGAGTTTCTGGCCTGGATGCAGTGAGGGGCAAAGCAGGGCTCTTTCGCGGAACAGAACGGAGCTGCTGAGCTAGGGGCTGGACCAAAGCAAGGGCCCCAGATGGTCTTCCCCTGGAAGTTCACGTGGCGGTCCCGTAGTCTCCTGGGCTAGCAGCACGTAGAGGTGACCTCCTCCAAGAGAAGCC